TTTTTTTTTTTTTTTTTGGGGGGGGGGGAATTTGGCGTATTCCTTGCTATTCAGGTTTTTTTGTTAAGGTGATATAAAAGTTTAAGAACTGCGGGAAAGGAATATATGTTTTGAGTAGAACTATCAAGTGATTTGCCTTGTGGTCTGATACATTGTTCCACTTTTTTTAGAAGGGACTGTTATGTTATAGGGGTTCTCCGAGGTTAGAAGCGAAGGATGTCCAGTATGTCCTCGAGAAACGTTTTAAGATTTTTCTACCAGCGCAGACTGTACATGGTTTTCAACAAAGTGAACGAACTCCTTGTACGAAGCCACCAACGGCGGAAGCCCATCGACAAAGAATGGGTCTCATCAAGAAGTCACTGCAGAAACCGTAGAAATACTTGTTTGAAAGTATGTGTTGAACTAGTGCAATTGTAAGTTACATATACAAATATAATAGTATATAGCGAAAATAAGTGGTGAACATTACTTCCGACTTGTATTCGAAGTTTCTTCATCGTTTACTATTGTTTTAAACCATTTGGGCATCTTCGTACCAGAATCCTCCTCACTCCTTGCTCGACTAGGTTTGAAGTTGCTCAGTGCTGACATCAAAGTGTTCTTCTCCGTTGCCTGTTGATTCCTCTCTTATTAACAAATTAATGCGGCCATTTATTTTCAGTTTTTGAATATACCGCTGTAGTTGGTTTGATTTTCTGAGACTAATTATAATAATGAATTGTTCAGCTTCAGGATTCATAATGGGAAGTTGGGGGGTTTGGGAGAGCTAAATTGTTATGACAATCCAGTGCTAGGAAGCTCCCAGCAAGTCTTGTTTACTAACCCTTTCCGACTTATTAATAAGTTTTTGAAAAGAAATCTAGCTTTTCACTTTGCTGGTTGTGAACCTAGAATGGGCTCACTATTAGTTTACTGAGTAAACTTGATCATCTTGTTTTAATAATAAATTAGTATAACTTTTTGGTTTTAATTTAATGTATTATACTTCATTTTCATTTAGTGATGCTCGAATAACTTTTTTTTTTGGAAATACTGATTCTTTCTTATGGCTGTGATATTTATGCAGCGTGATGTGATTTTCGGATTTTTTATGTGATCTTGTTTGCCAATTTTTTTTCTCACATTCTTAAAATGGTATTTTTCAGAAATTTCTGAGTTTTGGTGTGTATTTTGGAAATGTGCTTGTCAAATTGCTTATCATCTTGTTTTACGCGTCAGTGTCATTCCTGTAATGCTTTTTTTTTGTTCGAGAAGATTATTTAAAGCAAATAAAGTTTAATTGCTTACTGTTATCAAACAATTTTTTAATTACGCAACGGCATCCCACTGAATAATTAGTACCGTCAGATTGAGAAGGCAAGGCTACGCTGACTTACGGGTGGTCTCTGCGCTGGTTATGTAATAGTACTGTCACCTGCCTTCTGCGGTGAGCAGCTAATAGATGGTGTTGCTTTTCTGTCCCCACTCAAGCAGGATCGCTCACGATCTCAAGGAGTTGACTGTGCCGAGCTGCATGGCTGACCGGATTTTAACATTGCTAGCGTCCCTATCATGGCATGGTGTCCCTATCAGACAGTAGGTGCCCATTGCTGCAGTTGACAGCACGGACGCCCGCAAAGATGTAGTGCAACGTCTTACCCCTCAAATCCTGACACTCACTTTGTATTTAGTCACAGCTAGGCCTATAACTCCACCTCTCAAGAATTCTGTTTGAAAAAAACACTAAACAGGCGAAATAATACATTCTAGTTGTGCGGCAAACTCACCGGAACCCAACAATACAGCTGAACGCATTTGAAATAACCTACAAACTCGTCAGTGAAACACAGTTTTTTAGTGAAAGATTGGGCAACCTTGCCTGGCTGATCACTAAGGTTAAAATTATTTTATCACAAATGAGACAGGACAGGCCGTTCTATGAAAATTTGTTGCGTTGATGAACTTTTATTTCAATTCTCGGAACATATTGCAAAGTTACGCAAAACTAAATTCAGGACACGAAAACCGACGTAAGAAATCAAACTGAGATATATAAATGAGAAAATGATAGACTTGAGAACAACTTCACCGTATAGGTTTTTAAGCCATTTCTACATAATACGATTACAAAAATGATCGAATGATCGCTATAACAACATAGAGTCGCTCAAACTGCTTTTTGAAAAGTCATCTGAGCGACTGGTAGCAGCAATCTGAATAGACAATTCACGTACAGTACGCAAAAGAAATTTTGGGAAAAAAAACAAGCCACAGGAGAGATCAAGTAATTATAACAACTAGAAATGATAAAAAAACACCCTAAGTTCAAAACAAGGGTGAAACAATGTTACCTCAAACAAAATTTTTTAAAACTGGAATAGACGAACCTGAGCCTCCAAAGGGCTTTCAAGAACAACGCCATACAAGAAGGCTGCATGGCCTCAGAAAACAACAATGATCCAACTAAAACTAAAAAGTTGCAATTTGATGAACCGTACCATTAATAAGCAGTGCTCGACTCCTACAGTCTTAAGCAAAATGGGACAAATTAAGTAGGACTTAACTAAAATGAACAAAAATTAGGGTAGAAAACCACAGGTAATTGAAATCCACAACATTATCCAAACCAAAAGATGACGAAGCATTTTGATTGATGTAAATTTCAAGTCCATTCTAATAACACTTCTAACTGAAATGGTTTTACCCTAAACAAGAGACAGCAACAAAAATCAGCATATGCATCGTCACCCAACCACTGATAGTGCACATGCTCGTATACAATTACAAAAATCATTAAGGGAATACACAACAGCACATAGGACATCAAAGAACACACAAGTAAGCGTTTTACAATAAAAATTGGAGCACAAATGATGAGCTAGATAGTTAGCTGCAAACGCTTACACAAAATAAATCTTGTTTTGCGCGAGCATACACACCCGTACTGTGTTATTTGCAAAACAACATTTGACCTCATTAAAAGAATTTGTAAACCATTTTAAAATAAAAACCAAAAAAATCAAAAAAAAAAAGTTTGCATCTTGAAAAACAAAAGTTATTAACAATGAGAAATAATAAAATAACTAACTTCTGAACAATGCTACAGACTCTTTCGCAATCGAGTTCTTATCTGTTTGCAGCAAAAGCCACCGGTGAAAAAGTGAATAATTTTTCAATGGTATGTTCAGAGCTCTAAGATCCTCTAGCCGCTGAAAGAATCAAAGTGAGTATCATTCGCTTGGTGCCGCTGACGCTTCTTTTGAGAGCGCTGCTGTCAAAGCGTCTGTGTTGGGAGCCTAAAACAAACGAGGAGGAATGGATTAAAGCAAATCTTTGAAAAAATGGGGAATAATAGATGTTGAGAAAATCAAGAAACCTTTAAAAGAGTATTTGCTTTACAAGAGGATGTTGAATTTGAATTGACCGCTTGCTGCTGCAAGGAGTGCTGCGACCCCTCCCCCGATTCTTCCTTAACTTCCACCTGTTCTGGGGAGACAGTTGAACGCACCGATGGCGAAACGGTAGATCGAGAATTACAACCCGGCTATAAATGCAGATATAAGACTCAAAAAATTTTATACATGAAATCAATTCTATCACTCCCTATGATAAGCTCGTCAAACAACAGGTGCACTAAAACAGCATAAACAGTTCTGTCTCGAGACATAACGCTCCCAGTTTCCTTAGCGTTTTAAACAAACAAAAAAAAAACGTGATTGGATTCTGACAGTTGAATAAGGTCGCAGCAACTGGCAATTTTAGCAGTTACCAAACAACAAAGAAATCACCTTGGGCGAATGCGATACTTGAACGGCGGGGGATTGGCGTGGTGCTGGCGAAGCTGACGAAGGAGTTGTAAGAGATGGAAGACCTGGCGTGTGGTGAGTATTTGCCGCAGCACTGGCGAAAGATGCTAAAGCCGAATTGGCATTCATCATGAGAGGACTTAATAAAGAGTTACCCATTGCAAGTAAAGGTGTCGAATAAGGGAAACCGGAAAGACTACTCCCCACAGGTAAACCGTTGAAGCCTAAATATAATGACTGTTGAAAAATATGTAGAAATGAACAAATACATGAAAGGAAGTTAGTGATATAGCTAGGATGGTCATTAACAAATAATAATCTACTTGAAAGAAACTCAATTAAAAAGTTTTTACCGTCGGCAATGGAGGGACCAAAAGACGGCATTGCGGACAAAGGATTGAACGTTGAAACATTAGGTGTTCCTGATGGCTCCGGCCTTCGCAAATGAGAGTTCAATAAAGCATCTTTATTCACACAGTTACTGAGGTCTTGAGGTATGTTTCGCCCAAGAATGGCCCTCCTAACTTCACGTGCAGCTGACAGCCTTAATTCTTTGCAAGATATATCGGAGAACCATCCTGCGTGAGGAGTGTGGATAATATTCGGAGCGGATGCTAAAGGGCCTTAAAAATAGTCACAGTAGGAAATAAAGTATCTCATCAAATCCGAGTTCTAAGAAACAATTAAAAAATAACTGTCCCTCCTCCAGATTTTCAATTTCAAAAACTAAAAAACTTTGAATGTTGAGTCGAAAATGTTTTAAAACTGCATATACCACCAAAAAAGTTTAACAGTTAAACCCTGAGCTTCTAAAAAACTTAATACATCCTTCTGAATGATAACCGAGTTTTGATCCTGTCTCTAAGCAAAGAATAATGTCAAAGAAAACTAAACAGAAAAAGAAATTAATTAAAAACACCGGTGAACATAGAGCCGAACAAAATTCCAGTATCTGACAGAAGAATCTTTTGAAGATCGAATATGAACAAAAAAGGAAAAAAATGACACAAAAAGACTACTGATAATGACATTCAAGAAAAGACGAACGTTAGCTGAAAGCAGCAAAAAACGAAAATGACACAAAAAAGTTTAGCACTGCACTTTTACCGCAGTAAAACAATTATTGAAATTAATATAATCAAAAAAATCCCCCTCAGCATCTCAAACTTTCAAGTCTTTCCCACATTTTAGCTCAACAACAAATCTAAAAATACAGAAAGAGAATTTTCTCAAATGTTCGAAATTCAAATAAAACTTCAGTACACTACAAAAAAACGCATCTCTAAAATTGAAAAAAAAAATGTAGACTTGCTAGAAAATTAAAAGACATGCACTCACCAAGTGCAGTAAAATCAAATGGTTCGTGTTCATGGACGTCTAGTGCCGCTGCCCTAATACGTCCAGACTTCAAAGCTTCGCTGAGGGCGCTCTCTTGTATTAAACCTCCTCGAGCTGTATTTACAATGAATGCTCCTTTCCGCATCTGTTTGATTGTTATCTGTAAAAGTAAAGAGTTCTTTTTTTATAAAAGCCAGTTGATACTTGAAAACTGTTGTTTTAATAATGTCAGAAGCATGACGAGGCGGATAAAAAACTGGGCTAGACGGTTAAGTTAGAGTTGCAATTATTAAAGAAATACATTTTTAAACAAGGGCCACTCATAACACTCCAAAAAGTTATCAGCGACAAAAAAAACTTGATTTTAAAAAACCGGAAAAATGAATAACTAACATCGTTCAACATGTGCCGAGTTTCTTCAGTTAACGGACAATGCAGAGTCAAACAATCCGATTTATACAAAATATCATCCAAATTAAAGCATCGTTCGATGCCAAGAGCTTTTTCTACGCCATCAGGTAAATGTGGGTCAAAAAAGCAAATTTTGAAACCAAATGCCTTCGCTCGCATGGCTACAGCAGTACCAATTCTTCCTAAACCAATGATCCCTAAAGTGTCATCGCGTATCCTTGCGCTGCCATTGGCTAACTCACGAACTTGTTCAACTCCTGTCACCTAAAAAACACAAAATAAACAGCAATCACTAAGCGATCTCTCAAAATACCAAAACTGAATAAAATTAGTGACTCAAATTTCAGATTCTCTGCGTCAGTACATCATTCATACTTACCATCAAACATACTCCCGATCAAACCTTTATTGTCATATATTACCAATACAACCTGTAACTTTACACCTAATTCCTATGATAAAAAAAAAAAAAAAAGAAAGGACGACTCTACAGACCGACTCTGCTAAACCTCTTTGTTCAAGTTCAAATACTCCCCTAGAAAAAACTTTTACCGAGCGAACCAATCAAACAGTATAATGAACTGAGACAACGAATACTGCAATTTGGCAGCAAAGCATTTAATATATGCTTAACAAACCAAAATCACAACGATCGCAATTCCTTGATAAAAGGCAATAATTCTAACCTTCTTGCCGTCAGTAACAGCTTTTGCAAGCCAGTATGTTCTCCTATATAAGTTCAAAATTAATGACATTGTGGTATCAGCAACTTCTTCAACGCAGTCACCAGGAGTGTTGCACACGGCAATGCCTATAATATTATAAAAAAGACAAGTCTATTTAACATAATTGATCTTGACATGAGTCCTCCAAAAGACACATGTATTAGAAAAATTATGGATCATGTTTAAGGTCAACGAACTCCCAAGATATCAAAGAATCAAACCCAGAAATTCCTCTGAAAAAAGCAGCAGTCTATGTTGAAAAACGCTACTTTTTCTAGTACAAAAGTTCCAACTTTTCCTAATTGCGTCACCATTGGTGACTAGTGGGTAGAAGGAAATAAAAAATATTTCAAATGCGTGAGCATACGAGAAAAAGTGACTAAAAGGCTACCGAGCTTTCTTTTTACAATCATTTTTCAGAAATGCAACAAAAAAACTGCAACTGACCAAGCTCCGTAGCTGCCTTAACATCAATATTGTCAACACCGGTACCGATACGAACCACAACACGTAAGGCTTTAAACTTTTCCAGATCTTCCCTCTCCAAAGTGATAGAGTGCCACATCAGTGCAGCAAACGCCTCATTCAAAACCTTCAAAGATCGTTGGTTAAAATTACTCTATTTACAATACCTTTATTAGCAGTAAAACGGAATAGGAAAAAGTATGCAGCGCTAGATTTTTAACATACTAATGAAAATTTCTATGGCATAAAAAAGCCCTTTTAAAAATAATGGGACTTCTCCAAAACTTATATAATAACGACTACACCTTTTCATGTATTTCATGAGTAGACTGGGCATCACAGAACGCTACCGTTGCAATATCCTTCAAGACAGGCATCTCAACTGAACAATCACGTCCATCTAACAAAGCCACTAATGGCTTTGCCGTCGCACCGTTTGACATGCGACCACTCACTATAATCCGAAGCTCTTTAAAGATACAAATTTTTCCAAGAAATAAATATTTTAAATTTATTAATCTTCACTTTTTAAGCTGAAGATTAAACTATTAAAATTTTTTCGGATCCGAGAACAAAAAAAAGAGAGACGCAGAAGATCCGGATGTGTTAAAAAACTAAAATTCTAACTTTTTACCAACATTCAATAGCGAAAACAGAAACGAGACTTAATATATTACAGAGATTAACTACGCATCAAACGATAAATGTTTTGTTACTTATCTCTACAATTAAAAACATTTTTCCACCAGTTTTTACAGCTTTATAACATTTAAAAAGATGAATTTTAAAATTTTCTGAAAAAATATGTTGCCAAAAATTACATCAGGGAAATAAGAAAATGTTACTGGTAAATAAACTTTCAAAGTCGCGTTGATATAACTTCGATTGTAGTGGAGAAGACTGTACAACAGCAACGGATGCAGCCGGACGAGAAGGAAGTGGCGAAGATGAGGAAGAAAGAGGAAGAGAAGGATAAAGCGAAGTTGCGGTAATAGTTTTTGATGATAATAATGTTGTTGTTGTTACTGAATGTTTTGAGCTGCACGGAGGGTTTGAATCTATAAGAGGCGCTTTGGTTGTTAATTCACTCAATCACATTGGCACATGGAAGACGAAAATAGGCGGAGCCGGGAGGAGCAGCTTTATAGAATTGAATATAACATTGTGCTGCTGCTGTTGGTTGGTGTGGGAGGAGAAGAAGGTGAATGAAAATCGAGGAGTGCGTTTGGCTGGGGCTGGTTTTTGCTGTTTTTAGCCCTGCATTATATGCCACGAGAATTGCATGACGACGACCATCACTACTGGCTGGCTCTGTTGCTGTTTTGTTGCAGCAACAGAGCCATTTATGGCCACGATCGCCATCACCATCACCAAAGCCTCTTCCTTTTTCCCTTTGGCATTAAAAGGAAGCAAAAAGATACGCGCAAATAACACTCAATCGGCCGCAATACCACTGACATGAAACTCAGCCAATCCCAGTTAGTTTAAAAGCTTAAAGCGGCACGCAGAAAGCAGCATCTCCCTAAATAGCTCCTCTCTTACACAGTTTTCTAACTACTTTCCCTCTTTTTCTGTTGTTCCCTCCCCTCTCGTTTCACAGTGGCACACTGCCACATACAACCATCTTCCCCTTCCCCTCTCCCCGTCGCTTCATAAACAATCCTACTGCATTTTTCACTCATTTTGGCTATTAGAACTTATTAAATAGCATTCTCATCGACTGAAAACTATGCATTGCGCACTTTTATAAAAAAAGTTCTATATTGCTAAGCTACTATTCTGTCTAATGCATCATTAAATATAGCGCTATCAAGACGTCTCTATTTCTTCTTAACCATAAAAGTCACTTCTAATACAGCTTCTCAAAAAAATCTTTTTTTGCTTTAAACAACATCAGAAAAGTTTCTTCCACTTAAAAGTGCTAGAATTTTTTTTTAAACTACAATTAACAATATAGACTTTTTCTGTTGTTGCTTGAGCCTATATCCTTCGAAATGCAGTTTCGTAAGCAAAAAGAAGGAAAGCTACGTTGCACCCCATAACCAGTTACGAAAGTTGTAAGAAAGCTTATTTGAAAAAAGGTGTGAGGCAATAGTTTTAAAAATTCCTCTGACATACTTTAGCGAAATCTCATTATTGACTGATTTAGAATCGAAGCTGGCGTGATAAATCTACTCTTTTTTAGAAAACGTAGTCAAATGACGTAAAGTACAATACTTTACCGGTAAAAACAATTTGCGACTTGAAAGAAATTGATATTATTGTATACCACTGTTCCCGCAAAGCTCTAGACAATTCATGGCGAACTTTGAAAAATACTATGTATTAAAAAAACATTATTTGTTGAAAACTAAAAAGGAAGGCAATACAGGTCAGCAAAATTACTTTTTTTTTAAAAGGAAGAAGGAGGGTGGGGGAATTATCTGTCAACTTTCGCAGCCACCGATTTGAGCAAGTGTTCTTTTCTTTCTTATTTCTCCTTCCTCACTTTTAAATTCTCAAATATATTATTACTATTATTATTATTACTATTATTATTATTATTACTCTTATTATTATTATTATTATTATTATTATTATTATTATTACTGATTCCGAAAAATCTCAAAATTAATTTATTATTATTGTCTTATTATTATTATTATTATTATTATTATTATTATTATTATATTATTATTATTATTATTATTATTATTATTATTATTATATTATTATTATTATTATTATTATTATTATTATTATTATTGTTATTATTATTATTATTATTATTATTATTATTATTGCTATTTATTATTATAAGGGCTCATAACAGTGGTAATAAAGCCTTAAAATTTGCAGAACTCACTTATTTTTACGACGTAACAGTTGAAAAAAGAAACCATTCCATCGAACTAAGACTGAAAAACCTCCCTTCTCTCACTCCCTTCCCTGACCATAAAAAGTTTTTAGTCAATTCGACTTTCCTACTCATGACTGTTAGTAAGTAATACTCTTCTCCGGAAACTT